GTAATGAGTTGGGTCCCGTCACAGTCGTTACTATAGTTACAGTGCTTTTTATGAACCTCTTGAACGATAAACTGCTTACAGAAGTCCTCTTTTTTAGTCTGCGTAAGAGAAACAATTAGGGAACACGTACGAGTTGCAGTCATTTACTATTGCAATCACTGAAGGCAGTATTTACAAGCTTTAAGCAAATTGTTCCGCGTAAATTCAAAATATATTTTTTTAGCTTTGAAATGGTTATTTCTGTGAGTGAGATACAGTAAACCACAAAGGGGTAATTATGGCGTTATCTTCAAGGACCACTGTACAGTCCTCTTTTATTCTGGAGCTAATTTTTGGACTCCCTGACTGAAACAAAACACCAGAGTGTGCGCTGGCGTAGATATTTGATGGCCGTTTGGGTGCGAATGTGGCTGCAAGTACCTACAAATTTTTGGATCAGTTTGGGTCTCTGAGAAAGTGCCCACCTACCCCTCCCCTAAGCTAACATTTTTGACTAAGTGAGAAGTAAGTTTTATAGTTAGCTTAGAGGAGGGGTAGGAGGAGACGAGTTTCTAAGAAATCTATCTTGATCCCAGTTTTGCCCTATGTAAGGTTATCCGGCAAATGTTTGGTTCGTGAAATCCGGAATCCTGGATTTGGACAATCCAGAATTGAGATCAAGGAACCAAATGCAGAATCCTCCTTACGATTGTAATCCGGAATCCAAATTTGTACAGACAGGGAGGACGGAATCCGGAAGGCGGAATCCAGAATCCAAGACTGACTTGGATAACCTTACATTAAACTGGTACCTTTTTTTGCACTTTTTTTTTTTTTAATTGACTTTTTTACAGTGTTGAAACAGTCTAGAGATATGACCAATAACCTACGACTAAATCCTAAAGCTCGTGTCTGCAGTCCGTCACTCAGCATGCAGCCTCGCAAGTTAATTGACACTGACTAAATAAACAATAATAAAAATAAATTAAAAGACTTACAACATGGTACGTTTTTGGGCCAGTCGCACTGGTCCTTCTTTGCATTATAACGAAGTCCTGCTGGGCAAGCCATTTTGTAGGCAATCCCATTTGAGCAGGAGATGAATCCATAACAAGTATCGGGATCTTCGTAATTGCCATTGCGTTTTCCATCACAGAAATTATCTGACATTAGGAAAGAAATACGTGAAAAAGAGTTATAGTTCAAATAGACAGTAAACGCGTTCTCCAGACACTTCATCGGTAGCGGAGGAGTTCGTTACAAGAAACATAACCCTTTGCAGTCAGCAAAATTTTTGGGAATAAAACCGCATTTTGGACCAAATCCCCCGTTTTGAACCGTTCTTCAGCCAGCTAGCACGGGAATGGCTTAAAAAGAGATTGCCAACACTCAAGACAAAATTCTGCGCTAATTGGATGTAATTATACAGCTTTTTTGTTTTTCGCGCATGCGCATAAGCCAAATTTGGACGTTTGATTTGGGGAATCAAATTCGATTCTTTTTTCTCGCTCTCTTCTTTTTCCCTTTGCCCTTTACTTTATAGGCAGGTTTGTTGCCCACTTTCTTTCGCATGAAATTTTGACTGGTTTTCTTTCAAACAAAGAGAGGAATTTAATATGTAAAGAGTCGTAGGTAAAAAGCACAAATTGGTCCGGTTGGGTGGATTTTTTCACCAAAAAATGTTTAACTCTGTAACTTAGGATTGGTCAAAATTTGTTAAAGGAGGTAACAATGGAAAGCTCTATGCACGATAGCTAGCTTAAATGGAAATCTTAATGTGACCAGGAAGAATAATATGCATGGGTCTATATGGACCTAAAACTACTAAAGAGGACGAGAAAGAGTTTAAAAAGAACTTTCGAGTTTTAATTAACTTGTCAGTATAATAAGGATAATAACAACTTAGTTAAGCTCTTTTCTGTTTTCTCTTCACAGCGGCGGCAGCTATGATATACAGTAGCAACTGTTACCAGTAGTAGGTTGCTTACCGCACGTGACGAAGTCTGGGTAGTAGCACCTTTGCGTCTTTGGGTCGAAACGTAGGGAATAAGGGCAAAAAAATTTCTGTGCGATCCCTTTTACGCATGCGATGTAACCATAACAATTGTCAGGATCTTTGTAGTGTCCATCAGGTTTACCATGACAAATGTTTACCCATGGCCATGCTACAAGAGGAATAAGTTGATTCATCAGTACAGTCTTTAGAATATTCTATGTTTTCATAGCAAAGCTTGGAAAGCAAGCCTGCGGCGTAGTGAGTAGACTAGCCACCTGTCGTCCTTACGAGTTTCTAAGCGAGCGGAGCGAGCTTTTCAGGCCTATTGGTTCGAAAAACATGCCCGACTATCATATCTCAAGGCCCTTATTCTTACATATTAAGTACAAATACACTGGAATGAAATCCAAAATCAAATGGTAAAATAAAATTGAATGAATATTAAAGTTCTCTTCGAAACTTATACTGGGGGGAGGGAAGGGGCGGGAGCACTGGTTTAGGCGCCTTATTCAGCCAAATTAATGTAAGTTGTTAATTCCCGTTCACTATGTCTGTTGATTACTTTTCGACCGTTGTTTATCACTGTGTTATTTCCTAGAAGATATTCTTTAATAAAAGCCACATCTTTTTCTGCTGTCATGGTATGTTACTATTGCCGAGGATGCTCTTTTGAAATGGTATACATGTACATGTATATATGCAATGTATACTTTATAATTATGTACATGGATGCTTAATACTTACGACAATGCACGTTTTTGGGGTAGTCACATTGATCTTTTTTCGCATTGTACATCAGGCCTGCTGGACAAGGCATTTTATATGTAATCCCATTGGAGCATGCGATGTAACCATAACAGGTATCAGGATCTCTGTAATTGCCATTGGGTTTTCCACGACAAAAATAGTAAGTATACTTTCCAACATGTTTACCTGCATCAGAAAATATCAGTTTATCAAAACAATGAAAATGAACAGTCAAATACCATTAACACCGACACTTGGGGGGCCATAAAAGGTGTCCGTATTAACGAGGTGTCTGTATTTATTTAAGCGGATTGAATTTGGAGAAATTTAAGGGTCGGATTTCTTTACCCAGGGGCAAAGCAAACTGTCCGCAATAATGAAGTGTTTGCATTAAGCGGGTATGTCTCATGCATCTTTTTGAGATCGATTGAGAAGATCGAGGGTCAAGGGAGCCGTGGCCACCCATTTTCCTTTGAAATTTCGTTTTGTTGTTATGGAATTGTCAGAACAATGAAAAGTATCTTTATAGATGACAAATGAGTGTCCCGGCCACCCCTTTCTGAATTCCCTGGATCCGTTCCTGAATTTCAACCAGAACTGATCCCCAACCTCGTCCACAGGGCGCTTTTCCCTGGGGACTAGGTTGAAATGATCCCGTGAAAAGCTTCGATAGTGAATGATGCTGAGTACTTGAGCAACGCATTTATCGAGTGGATATTTTGTCTCTAAAAAATCTATTTGTGAAGCAAAATTTATGCAGTTCAATACTTTGTGCTATAATCATAAACCTGACACAACATGACCAAGTAACCTGAGTCCAAGTCGTGGATCATTTGCGGTCCGTTTTGGCTATCCATACGCGGTAGTGCACGCTTCTCTCCTCGGAGAACAAAGGAGTTTAGTTTTTAACGAAGGTCTCGCTGGTGAAAAATTAAAAGTTTGCCTGTGCACAGCAGAGAAGTAAGCATGAATACAGCCACGTCTAATACGCTCATTCCACTTACAAACCCAAACGCCGTTTGCGGTAGACCTACTCTAAAAAATGTCGAGCATTCAGTTTGGAACGAGTCGGTCCGCGAACTTTGCCAGAGATCAATTTACGAGCTAACCATTATGAGTGAACTTATTGAGAATCACTGCATATCAATTGAGTTATCTATTGACTGCAAATTTTCTGATGGGTTATTTGTTCACTGCAAATGACGTGTTCTGAAACAGAAGTAGCCAGAAATCGAAATTATTATCAACACAGGAGACTAGCATCCCAGTGTACAGTTGTAAGACTACGAGGATTTAAATATAAGTAAGTAAGTAAGTAAGTAAGTAAGTTGGAAGCGAAGAGGACACAATTAGTCTCACATAAGGCAACAACTACTTCAGTGATAATAAATTGCGTAAGCTTAGTTATTTTGTTTTCAATTGTTGCTTTTGTATTATTACCGGGACTATTTTATTCTTCAATAGTTAAATTATGAGCTTAACTGCAATTACATGTACTTTAATCGCATGTTTGGTCAAGCATTTCATATCGCTAGACGCTCTTGTATTCTTGTTTGCAGGCCTGGGACTATTTTACATTTCAATTGTTTTATTCTTATCATTGCAATCACTATATCGGCATATCTTGTCAAGTCTTTCATATCGTGTCCGAAAACTAATGCATTGACGGAAACCTTTGACATTTCAGTATTCGATCATTGTGATTTGTTAGAGAAAGCTAATCATTTGACTGTAAAGTTTAGCAACGATGGTATAAAGCAATTTTCCACTAAAAGGATATAAAAATGTCGTGTATCATTATCATTCAGCTAAGGGTAATATCCTCCGATATACCACCAATTCCTAAAGGAGTTTATTTATTTTATAATCCTCTGATTACTTTTTTATATCTCTAACATGTTGGGAGAAAAAAAAAAAAACAACAACAACAACAAACAAAAACAAACAAACAAAAGATGTGAGCGCGCGTACAAATGACGCAAACAAGCTCATTGATTGGTTGAATCTTTTTTTACTGAAACTGTGATTGGACTAGGGCTTGACAGGCTGTCATGTCAAATAAACTCTCGCAACGCACCATAGAACAACAACAACAACAACAACAATAAAAAAACAGCGCTTTCAGTTTATATTTTGCCGACAGCACTGTTCGAGAACTACTCAGAAAAGCGTTTCTAATGGATGAGTAAGAGAATCCAACCTATATCACTGCCGCTGCGAGGCCTAGAAAAGCAAAATACGACTATGAAACACAGAATCTGACAAATCTGGAACAGTTGAACACTTTGAATCACGGAATAAACATCATCAAAGTCAACGTAGGGCCTGTTTATATGGAGGTGGGGTACCCCAGATAGGTGAGGTAACCCGCCTGTCCATATAATCTCTCATTTTAGTGTGATCACGTTTACATGTTAGGTGAGGTAACCCGCCACATGTTACCTCACCTACCTGAGGCCCCCCACCTTCATGTAAACAGGCCCGTAGGCTGTAGTATAATAAATGCCTATTGTGCATCAAATGCACATTTTCCCGCTCCATGAATCTAAACAAAAAGAAGCCCGACCTCAAGCACTAGTAAGTCTTGTTATGTAAATGTTTCACAATCATTCAATCGTGTTTTTAGTCACGCTTACAAAAATATTCGCCCGCACCTCGTGCTTTGAACGTCATAAAACTCCAATTCGTTAATTAAACATTGCATCTTTTGAACTTACTTGTTGCATGGTCAACAGCCAAAAGATTAAGAAGCACCAGAAATAACGGAATCATCTTCCAGTCTATTTTGACGACAAAATGATTTTCCACAAAACTGAAAGAAAAAGAAGTATACAACATTATTGCCAACGAGCAATAGGAGCGAAGACGCTCCGGTTGCCAGGTGGCAGCATCATAGTGCCGCGCTGTAAGATGAAAGGTTCTCGTGCGCGCTACAAAAGTGTAATGTAAGGTGTAAAAGTGTAATGTAAGGTGTATATTTCCTGGAGACTTTGGTTTGGGCCAGTCACAAGGCCGGAACTATCACTTGTGAGCCGATTAGAGCCAATTTGGTGCCAACATTCTTAGCCAATCCGGAGGCGGTATTTGGGACGATTGATATGTACAAGGCTTTGGTAAGAATTGTGCAGTCCTCTGTATTAACGCCCAAAGAAGTCTGTTCATTTGTTTTTCCACATCTCAATTACCACAACGAAAGACGAATGAATCCCTGAGGGATTTTTTTGAGTAGGTAAGTTGTTTTCATTTTTTGCGTTTGTGTTTGTTAAACTGTGAACTTAATTGCGGTCTCACACTAAGAGTATTTGAAGAAGGTGTGATACGAATATCTGAGAGAAATTGATGTACAATACTCATCCAATCAGCCGATTCAGAAATCTGAATGCAGAACGCCGAGTACAGAAAGCCTACATTCGTATAGATGCGTGTACGTGGATGGAAGCCGTATCCGCCAAGAAAAAGTTGCAGATTAAAAAATATCCGGATACTTGTGGACGGGGCCTAAGTACCATTTGACTTTATTTATTCCTCGCGTAGCGAAGGTTTATAATTAGTTTTTGTCGCAACTGCAGCGCGCGGATCGCGCATGGATCATAGCGGCCTGCAGAGACGGGAACCAGTAGCTTCAAAATAAAAGCTCAAAATCGAGATAAAAGAACATTAATGTCAGTGCGTTCGCTTCGCAAACGAGTTCACGGCTTACGGCTTAGGTCGCGGGACTTGTTTGTGGAAGTGCATTTCGTTTCAGCTTTTAACCATCAAATCTTGCTTTTCCCAGAAATCTGCAGCCTTGAATTCAAAGTCAAAAGCGAGAAAACTCAATTGGAATACTTTACCTCAAAGGGCTACGCGAAGCTACACGGCAACCTTCTCGAGTGGTGTCTCTGTAGATCACTGATTAGTAATGTGTACTGAGCCTTTTTTATCCTGGTTAGGAAGGCGTGGTTACAGAATTCGAACGGATCATACAGCACGTTTCAATCACCTAAGCTGGTCAATTCGAACAATATCTGCAATATTTCCGGATCACGTTCATAATAACAGTAAACGTTTAAAGGACTCACAAACATTTTTGCATCTATTAAATCAAACACTCTTTAACTGTCACCTACGTACAGGTACAACAAATGGCTGAACACAGATCATAAAATCGGTGTACGTAAATCAAAGTGTCTAGTTTTCAAAGTTATCATTCGAAGTTAGTCTCAATTACTCCTGTAAGATGGCCTGCTTGATTAAATTTTTTTGTAAGTGGTCATCAAGTGCTGAAGGGAGAACCATCTTGATTTCAAAAGGCTACAGCAACAATTCCGAGATCGACGCACAGCTAGGCCTTTTAATTAAGTGACATTAACCGACAGGCTTCTGATGTGTGTAAGGGGTAAGGTAAGGCCGGGGCTAATCCGAGCGACCAAAGTTGGTGAGGTGGAAACATGTTGAATTCAGGCCCTTTAAAACAGTAGAAATAATATTGCCTATTAAATACTTTCATTGGAAGTGCATTCGTAAGAGATAACAATTCTGCCTGATGGCAAAAAGATGCAAATCTATAATCATGAGTAGCATAGCTTCCGAGAGCTCCTTATTGTATCGGACTCGGTCTGCGTATTTTTCGTTTGCTTTTCAGCGTAAAAGACGCAAAACCATGGTCACTACTCTTTAAAAGTGTTTCTTCTTTCTCGCAACATAACCTGTTTTCTTCATATGTCCAAATTTTACCTTTTATTGATCTTTATTAAAGGAAAACTCTATTAAATGTGCTCCAATATCGACTTAAAAATATCCTGTATAATATCGGCGATCATGTTGTACTACTTGCCAAAATAGTTTGGTCAGTCACGCTTCTTGCTAGCTATCAACGGCCTCTTATTCTTAGCCCCAGGTCCCGAGTTGGTGGCGGGAGGGGGGTGGGGTGCGCTGGGAACTCAGAAATGAAGTGACAGAATGAAGTGAAAGATGGAGGGCTTTAAGAAAGTGGCAGTAATCTCTATATTTGTTACCTCTATTAAAGGTACACCTCTATTCAGAGGGGAAAGGGACACTTTTTCTGGGTCCCGAAATCCGGATTTAACCTTCATTCAAGGGACACCTTAGCACTCAAAAAGTGACCAACCACTTGTTGACAAGTTTAAGTGTACACTAGTCACGATGGCGACAACGCTCAAAACATAAGCTATCTCGCTTAAACTGGTGTACTGTACTTGTGGGAATTCCACACGCAACATCGCAGAGATATTAGTTAATCATGAATTTTATCAAGAGAAATTATTCTCTCTTGTTTTTATACATTATCTAGCTGCTTGAAATTATGACTGCAGCAGATTCCGAGGTAGAATAAGAGAAAAACCTTTTATTTGTTGGTTAATTATTAACATACCCCAGCCCAGGGACGCTTGCCTGGGTTCCGAGGGTGTCCCTGAATAGAGGTTCCGCTGTACTTCAGCTACGAAATCTCTACCCCTTCATATACCTGAAGCCTGGGCCCCAACTGTACTTTATCTTCTCTCACTTATTTGGAGAGTGTAAAAGTTCGCGAGTTTCAAAAGTCTTCCTTAAATTTCATGAAACAAATTAGTTTGACACAAAATGCGATGCTTTGCAAAATTTTGTCTGCAACAACACAAGAATAGATCCGCGTGAATTCCTGCAACTTTTTCTCTGCAGATTAGGCTTCCGTCCACACGTATCTGCATGGTGAATCCGGCATAGGCATCCGCAACTTTTTGGATTCGCTCTCCTGAGTGGAAATCTTTGACTACGCTATGATCCGGAATTGTGTGGACGCTAAATCCGACGTCACAAGATCGAGCCCAGTTCTTCACCTTGAATATTCAAGACGACGCCGAGCATAATGTTATTGCTTCTTTACTTCTTGGACTTTAGTTTCAAGACTTATAACGTGTGTGCAACCTAGCTATGATTACTGTACACTTCAATTATGCCAAACGCAGGTTCGACATTTTGAAGCTTCTTTCCATGATGAACGGACGAACTGGACGCCGTAAACTAGTTAAACGAACGAAATAATGCTTGCTGGGACAATTTTGTCAGTCAGAAACAGTTATTGAAGACGAATGGCGATAAAATTTTCGCTCAAGCCGAAGATCGCTTTACAAATTAGCTGACGAACTGAGAGTTAGTGTGGATACGTGTAGACGTGGAAATTTTTGGATCCGTAAAGAAAAATAAATAAATAAATAAATTGCCGATTCAAAAATATCCGGCTACGTGAGGACTAGTCTGCGTAGAATGGCAGTTTTGGTTGGGCGCGTAAGGTAATAATAAAGGAGGGCTTGCCCCTCGTTAACGCACCTTCCGCGCGCGGATTTCGCGGCTTCGCCGCTCGTGCGCCTTGCTCGACAAAACCACAAGGCTACGCAGGCTACGTACGGACGGGGCCTGAATAAGAGTAGTCTCGAAAAAAAAAAAAAAAAAAAACCGGCAATCACAGATGTTGCTGTTTGATATTTCAAATAATCTATTACGCCGATGCATAGACTATATTTCTAGTAGAATTGTGTGGTAAATAAGTAAACAAGTAACGGAGAAGAATAATATTTCCATTTAAGGTGGCTCGATACAGTTTTGCAGGGTCAATACCTCTCAAGTTTGAGCATAATCTACGTCGCCAGAAACAAAGGTATGAAAAAAGAAATATATATATCACCACGGTTGTCTTAGATAAAGATAAAAAAATGATATCGTCAGGTTCAGCAACGAGATCGGAGTTGTCATTGGCAACAAAATGACGCTATTACCTATTTTACTTGCAGCAGTATATCTCGGTGCTGGGAACTGTTCTTCCAAAATCGTTTACGAGAGCTTTTTCCTCCAACAGCGGCCTTGATATTCGTCAGCTTTAAGGGAAATCTGTAAGAGCTTTATCGAGATATTTTAGCATGAGGTTTTTATGGCTAAAAACACAGTAAAAAATAGACAATCTAGAAAGTTTGGCCATTATCTGTAGAAAACGAAGCGTTTTTGACATGCAATTTTACCTCATAGTAGCTTCAATCTTTTTAAAACGAGTGTGAAAGATCATGGAGATAGCTCCAGCCGATTGCTAGAAAGAAGGATTTGATTAGTGTATCGAAGCGCTCTTGTTAGCGGTTTTGTAAACATTTTGGTCTTCTTTAACAAAGTACGTAGGGAATAAGGTTTAAACCGCTCCATAGATTTTTTTAAAAATTTAAGATTCTTGAGATTAACCTTCCTTTAATATGAACTTTTAGTTTCAAGATTATTGATATATTGTAAGGCAATAAAATAAGGGCTACAATTGGATAATTTTTTATCGGAAGTTTCGTCATTAAAAGTGAAAGCCTCTCATTATTCAAGGTATTGTCTCCAAGTTTCATTTTCACATCAACAGCGGTAAATAACAATGCATTTCAAATATGCAAAAGTGCTAGCTATTGTTGTGCAAGAAAATATGAAACTTGCGGACAATACCATGAATAATGAGAGGCTCTTCCTTGTAAACACAAAATTTCTGACAAACAAAAAAAAAATAAAAATAAAAAACAGAGAGAGACAGCAACAACAACAACGACAACAAAACTCGGGATAGGGAGATAACTCAATCAATTTTATTTCCTCCATATAAAAGATGATGGAGATGTCAAAGGTCAGTAACATTTCTCGCACTGGGAAACAGTCTTACACGATCTAAAACCCCTCTCACACTGAAAAATTTTTCAACTACGCAACTTTGAAATTGCTGTTTTTTCTAAAAGGTAGATATAACTTTTTTTTATTAAGAATTAGACTTATATAATATTTAAAACCACCAATTAAAAGCAGGAAGCTTATCATATTCAATGATTTAATTGGTTTTACTCTCCACGTTATTATCATTAGTCTTTTTTGTAAGTATTGTTATTATTATTATTATTATTATTTTTGAAATGGTGGCACTAAAGTAAAGTATTATCATATTTGATTTCTTGAAATTCTTTGATTTGGCTTCGCCTCCTAAGATCGACCCTATGCCGCCATTTCATATTCTAACAACTGTTTCCAAAAGCAAATTTGCCGTCTTCTTTGCTGAAAGCTTAACTAGTAACAATTAACATTTTTGGGCCAATCGCACTTATCATGGACTTCATTATACTTAAGACCAGCGGGACAAGGCATGTAGTAGGCAATTTGATTACTGCAACTTATATAACCATAGCAGTTGCCAGGATCCTTGTAGTTTCCATTTGGTTTTCCCCAGCAGGTGACTGCAAAGAAAAGAACATTTTGTTGTACTGAATAGGCAAAACTCATCATCATCATCATCATCATCACTACCATTATCATCAAAATTGCTATCGACATCAGCAGTATCATTGCCGTTACGAAAAAAAACTGATGTATTCTAACATCACCAAAATCTTTAGCCTATCATCAGTACGGCTATCTTGTCTTTGCATAGAATGTGAAAATTTCTGTCTTTTTAATCTTGACGGCCAAAACATTTGGGTCCCTAAGCAGCTACATCTGTATGACGTCAAAAGTCTAATTACGCCTTTTTTCGCTGTTCTATTGGCGATTGATGTCAGCAGTGATTTTTTTTTTAATTGATTAAGAATTTAGTTATCGCCGAACTTTGGCATTTGCGGAAGGCAGCAATTGCAAAACTTTTACAAAAATATGATTCAGGGCTTCGAATTGTTCCCCACAATTTGGTTGTTATTCTCACGTCAGTGATGGGTATACATATATCATGTATATTAAGAAAGCCATCACACAATACTTACAAGGGCAATGCTGTGGGTTGCAAATTTGCTTCTTCACACTTGGGCCGACACAATGTTTTCCACCTCTGGCAGGATAGGGCTTGGTACAATAGCGGCTGCTGATTTGGATTCCTCCCCCGCAGGAGGCTGAGCAGGGGAACCACGAGGACCAGGCGGTCCATCCGCCATCAATTGGATCTACACAGAAAAACAAAGAAAGAATAAATGACGTCCATGTCTCTAGATGAGAATGCCGGACCAATTTAGGTTTCGCAGAAACTGCCCACGTACCCCTTCCCTAACCCAAAAATTTGCCCCAAATGAGACGCAAATGATAACGTTGAGTTAGGGGAGGGGTAGGTGGGCAGTTTCCCAGAAACCTAAAAAAGATCCGGAATGCCAAGTGCAGGGTTATGGGCTCCTGCAAGTGAGGCAATGTAATGATTTCGGTCACGTTCACAGTCGTTATCACAGTTACAGAGCTTTCGCATGAACCTCTTGAACGATAGACTGCTTACAGAAGTCCTTTGTTTTATTTTTTTTTAGTCTAGCTGCATTTAGGGAACGCGTACGTGTGGCAATCATTGACTTTTGCGATCAATGCTGGCTTAGGGGAGAGGAGGCAGGTGGGCAGTTTCCCAGAAACGTAAAATGATAACCTTACATTGAACTCTGGCTTGCAACAACTGGTACTTTTTTTAAATTTTTATTATTATTATTATTTTTTTACAGCGTTACAACAGTTTAAAAATATGATCGATAACCTAAGACTAAATCCTAAAGCTGACTGACTGAAAGAAAAATAAGAAAAATAAATTAAAAGACTTACAACATGGTACGTTGCGGGGCCAGTCACATTGGTCCTTCTTTACATTATAACGAAGTCCTGCTGGGCAAGCCATTTTATAGGCAATCCCATTTGAGCAAGAGATGAATCCATAGCAAGTATCAGGATCTTCGTAATTGCCATTGGGTTTTCCATCACAGAAGTTATCTGAAATTAGGGAAGAAATACGTGAAAAAGAGTTATAGTTCAAATAGACAGAAAACGCGTTTTATCAGACTCTTCATCGTTAGCGGAGGAGTTCGTTATAAGAAACTTAACCCTTTGCCATCAGCCAATCTTAAGGGATAAAACCGCATTTTGGACCAAATCCTTCATTTTAAACCGTTTTTTTCCAGCCAGTTAGCATGAAATCGGCAATACAATTGTCGAGACTTTGACTCAAATAGGGTAACTTCAGAGAACAAAAGAATCCGCACCCATCCCCTGTCCCCTCCGTCCAAAGTTGGGGTGTTTGTTGTATTCTATAGGTAGCTAGAACATTAACACAACATTGCATGGAGGCGATGGGGAGGGAAAGATATATTTCCTCCTTTTGAAGTAAGTAAGAGGTAAAAGAGCCCAGTTTAGGGCGAAGTGTCTCAACTCATTTTGTCAGCGATTGTGGGAATGGCTGAAAAATTTATTCTGTATAGAGTAGTAGGTAAAAAGTAAAATTGGTTGGTGTATTTTTTCCCCAAATGCTGCTTGTTTTTTGTTTGTAACTCTGTCAGGATTGGTCCAAATTTGCTAAATGACGTATCAATGGAAAGCTCTATTCAAGATAGCTAGCTTAAATGGAAATCTTAATGTGGCCAGGAAGAATAATATGCATGGGTTTATACGGACCTAAAACGACCAAAGCGGGCGACAAAAAGTTTTAAAAGAACTTTCGAGTTTGAATTGACTGGTTACTAGTACTACGACAACGGCAACGATAACGATAACGTACGATAATAAAAACACACTTAGTTAAGTTCTTCTCTCTTTTCTCTTTACAGCAGCGGTAGCTATTATATACAGTAGCAACTGTTACCAGTACAAGGCTAAATGCTTACCACACGCGACAAACTCTGGGTAGTCGCACTGTTTTGTCTTTGGGTTGAAACGCAGGAAATAAGGGCAATGAAATTTTTGTGCGATCCCATTTACGCATGCGATGTAACCATAACAATTGTCAGGATCTTTGTAGTGTCCATCAGGTTTACCATGACAAATGTTTACCCATGGCCATGCTACAAGAGAAATAAGTTGATACATCAGTACAGTCTTTAGAATATTCTATGTTTTCATAGCAAAGCTCCGAAGACACCGGCGCATGCGTGCAGAGTAGACTACGTACAAGTAGACCTTACGAGTTTCTAAGCGAGCAGAGCGCACATTTTAGTCGGAAATCAGGCGAATAAGTTTTTTTGAAAGTCTGCATACTGAGCTCTAATTGTTAGAAAAAACTGATGCCAGACTGTCATATTTCAAGGCCCTTATTTCTTACATAATGACATCAAAAATCAAATGGTAAAATGAAAAAAAAAGTCAAGAAGAATAAATGTTACAGTTCTGTCGTAACCCTATGGGGGAGGAGGGAGGTGAGGTGAGGGGGGGGACGGGGAGTGAGGGGCACTGATTTAGGGGCCTTAGTCAACCAATGTAAGTTTTTACTTCCCGTTCACTGCTTTTCGACCGTTGTTTATCACTGTGTTATATCCTACGTCACGGTATATTACTATTCCCGAGGAAGCTCTTTTGAAATGGTATACATGTACATGTATATATGCAATGTATGCTTTATAATTATGTACATGGATGCTTAATACTTACGACAATGCACGTTTTTGGGGTAGTCACATTGATCTTTTTTCTCATTGTACATCAGGCCTGCTGGACAAGGCATTTTGTATGGAATCCCATTGGAGCATGCGATGTAACCATAACAAGTATCAGGATCTCTGTAATTGCCATTGGGTTTTCCATGACAATAGTAGTAATAATAATAGTTTCCAACATGTTTACCTGCATCAGAAAATATCAGTTTATCAAGAGAATGAAAATGTACAGTCAAACAACATTAATACCGACCCTTAAGGGGCCAAGAAAGTGTCCGTATTAACGGGGTGTTCTTGTTACAGGCCTGTAAGCTGGCTGAATATAAAGAAAATGTAACGGCTTTCCTTCCCAAGGGCCGAAGCAAGCTGTCCGTAATAAAGAGGGGTCCGTATTAAGCAGGTGTCCATAAGGCTGTATTTGACAGTACAGTCAAAACCCATTAATACGGGCATTGAGGGGGCCGTAGAAAGTGTCCATATTAACGGGGTGTCCGTATTAAGCGGGTTATTGAATTTAGAGAAAAAGTAGGGCAAACTGTCTGTAATAATGAGAAGTCCGTATTCTTGAATTGTCGGCATTTACTGGTCACGTGTGATGGAGCATTGCTGTAAGCTGGTTGAATATAGAGAAAATGTTAGGCTTTCCTTCCCAAGGCGGCGAAGCAAGCTGTCCGTAATAAAGATTAGTCCGTATTGAGCAGATGTCCGTCAGGCGGGAATTTGACATTACAGTTCAACCACATTAATAGGGACATTGAAAGGGCCGTAGAAAGTGTCCATATTGACGGGGTGTTCGAATTAAGCGGGTTATTGAATTTAGAGAAAATGTAAGAACTCTCTATCCCAATGGACAAAGCAAACTGTCCGTAATAATGAGGAGTCCGTATTTTCAGTTGTCCTTAAGGTGGGTTTGACTGCACAGTTAAACCCTATTAATACGGACACTGAGGGCGGCATAGAAAGGTTACTGAATTTAGAGAAATGTAAGGGCCGGATCGGGATTTCTTTCCTCAGGGACAAAACAAACTCTCCGTAATATTGAGGTGTCCGTATTAAGCGGGTGCCCATAAAGCGGACAAAATGAGCCACAAAATATATCTCATCTATCTTGTAGAGATCGATTGAGAAGACCAAAGGCTTTCCAATGAAGGTAAAGTAATTTCGAAATACTTCAACAACATATCACCAACTCGAGAGACAGCCCGCATCAAAGCCCGTCTCCCCTGTACTATGGTTGAGGTGGGGAGGATTTTGTGTGTACGTGCGAGGGTAAAACTTGTCACTTTAGCGGGATATAACCGTTCATCAGACTTCAAAGCAACTATAACAAGAGATCTTTACGCCCCACTAAACACGCTTATACTTTTCGAGACCCTCTAATCTTAAGACATGGACGGTTAAAAGTTAAAGCTGAACCTGTTGTGGGCTGGATCAGGCACATCGCAGCACTCAATATGAGGAAACAGATAATGCGCAGTGTCATGTTTGCCGGGTAATGTCCTGTTAAGAAAATAAAATAAATAACTTAATAAATCAATGTAAAAGGATTGATAAACTTTGGGCGTCAGAAAAAAAACGTAACGGTTTTTGAAGAGTAAGAATTCGCTAAAAGACGTGAACAACCGTAACCAGTTTTACCGCAACACTTATGCAGTGACGAAATTTTGATGCCCACAACCATGTGGTTTAGTTTTAAGTCATATGTGCCCGCAGTTGTTGAGACATCCGGAACGTGAATATTTTATGGTTAGCCAGATATATGTGCACCCAATATTCCTCTCTTGTCGTTCTTTTGTCAGGCTTCAAAGAAAACAATCGTGGTGTATAATTATGTCCATAGTTTCCGCGTTCTTTTTTCTTTTTCTTTCTGGAACCGGAATTTCGTATTTCGGATTGGCTTCCCGTGCTAACTTTCGGAGTGAGAAAAAATTTCTTCAGAAAATTTAGCTTTTGGGTGTTCGTGTGGAACGATAATGACGTCACAGTATCTGAACTTTTGTGCATGCAGCGATAAGGAGTTAATTCTTACTGCAATGCTGCCTTTTTGGCTTTACCTTAAGCTTAAAGTTTCCAGCTTCTCCGTCATGTAAGACCTCCAAAGTTGTTATCTCAGATGGGACTTAATCTACCATATTGGCCTCAAGAACCAAGGGGTCAAATACTTGAGAAAAGCTCATCAAAAGAGGTTCAGAAATTCTTCACTTGAAATCTAAAGTTTACTTGTGGTCTGATAACATGCCAATTAGCCCCTGTAAGATGTACTATCTATAGCTGATTTATAGTGTTGGTTAGTATACTTAGCTCTTTTATAAGCAAATTTTCTTTACCAGAAATAAGAGAAGTCACAGAAGCCAATACCCAAACTCCCCTTTTTGTTTGACACAGCACAGTTAGCCTGAGAAATCAGCTGACATTTCGAGACGCAACCACCGGACTCCCAGCGAAATGACATTTGAGCAACAAGCGCGCAGTGTTTATTTTCGCGACAACAAAAATCAGTATGTACTTACTCTTAAATCTTGTAAACTTAAGATTAGCGATAAATGGAAGATAACCGAGAACACGTTGGTGTAGTTTACGAGGATTTTCCAAACATCAATATAGAAATTGTAAAATGCGTAATTATGACGGAAAGATAAAGATAATAATGATGATGATGATAATAATAATAATAATAATAATAATAATAATAATAATAATAATAATGATAATAATTTTAAAATATTTCTATAGGATTACTACATCAGTTTAAGGAAAAAACTGGTATCAATGAAGCTCCTGATGATAGTTTTACAGTTTGAGAGTAAAAATTGTTTTGTCCTCGCGCAAATTATTAAAAAAAAAAAACAAATTATAAAAAAAACAAAACAAAACAAAACGAAAACAAGAAAACAGCAAAAGAAACAAATGAAGAAATCGCGTAAAGTAGTAAAAATAATATACACAATGGAAGCTCTGATAATCTTGACTGTCTGCTCTGTACAAAAGCTACAAATTAAAAAGCTATCGAAATGTCTTCCCCCAACGAACATGTGAAGTCTTTCAGCACTTACCAGAAAGTACGCCAATACAATCCTTTTCCCTTTGAATGTAGCTTGATGTTCTTGCGACTTGTTTCTGCAGTGTTTTGGCGTTTTCAGCAAGTACAGACTAATTTATATAGCTACTTGATGCTACATAATTTTTGACGCCACAGTTTCAATTCGCCACAATGTGACCTATGATTGGTTTGTTGGTCAATTGTGGCAATGATTGCATTGGCTTACTTGAAAATCATTTTGTTTCTAGAGAGAAAGGAAATTTCAAACGTTTCAAAGGAAGTTTGCTGGCGTCAAACTGATAAGAGTTTCACATCTAAGTGTTATTTTTCGACGGTGGCCATTGTTTAAGAACTTTAAACAATAGTTCAAGTTGTGGTGTGCACTTGTGACTATTTTACGAAATTTTATATCGGTCGTACGTGCAGGAAAAATGTTGCCAACGCTGTTTCATGTTGTTTCTTGTTGCAAAACACGTTAAGGAAAGGAATTTTCCGGCATAGAAGTCCTTGACCAGAAATTTTGTCACAAAAGCCAGTAGCCCATAAAAAAACAACAACAGCAGTGTCACTGAACACTGAACAACAAACGAACGGCAGTCATCCTTAACTGAACACAAAATTATGATTATTGAGGAGATTCAGATCAAAAAGCCAAAAAAAAAACAAATAAATAGATAAGTAAATAAATAAAAAATAATAATATTAACAATAATAATAATAATACAAATAAACAAAAAGTAAACCAATTTAAACTTTTCTGTTTAATCAGTGTTTGATGTTGTTTATTTGAGTGTTTATTTTTTATGTTTTCGTTTTGTACTTCATGGCCAAATTTTGCAAACTGACAACAATTTTCCTTGTTTTACTCTTTTATTGATCATTAACTTGACGTAAAAGTGATTAAATCTCAAGTGAGCCCACAAGACTCCAAGGAGTGGTTTACTGCAAAGGTTTGAACGTGTTCATGTCATCTATCGTCCCCAGTCTATAAGAGTTTATACACGTACAATAAGCTGAAAGCTATTCGTTCTTGTATTCGTCAGTCGTACATAATCTGTCAGTATTCAGGAATTACATGGCTTTTTTTCGTTTTGTTGAACATGGCCAAGAGTTTGAAATATGATGACGAGATAGACTACTTCTGATTGCGTAAATAAGACCTTAAAAACGCGGAGTTTTAGCTCGAGTTCATTCAAGTAAGAGATGGAAAAGCCGCGAAAAAAGAAATAATTATCTAAGCGTAGAGGACCGGAAAATACTTGAATCACCTGAACCACAATCTTAGATCACCTATACTAGGCCTTAAACCGAACTTTACTCCGTCTTTCATTTGCTGCCAACTAATTTCCACTCGAATTTGTATGATTTTACGTCACAAGCAGCTCTCCTTTTCTTAGTAGTCTGTCGAGCGAAATAAGGGAGATGAGAGAGATGACTTGACTGTGGTGTTTTTATATCTTAAATTATTTTATCTTTAGTTTTTGCAGTTTTTTCTTGTGGTTTTAAAGTTTTGAATATTTTAAACATGGATCCTGAGAAAGTGCGCTTTATAAATGTCTCATCATCATATTATTTCCATTCCCTGTAGACTCAGGCAGGATGTTCGGCCTGGTTTATAGTCCTTGGGAGCAGGTTACAAAAAGTCACCACGGGTCCCAGGTCTCTCTTTCCCTTCTTCTTACAGGGACAGGACCTTTCCTTAGTATCTTTGCTGTTCCTAACAGTGCTGTTTTCTGGACAACTTCCAACCTCACGTTCACGCCGATTCGCTTCACGTACTCCTTAAAGTTGACTGATACGGCTCCAAGGGCCCCAATAACAACAGACACTACAATGACTTTTCGCATGCGCCAGACTTTTGCAATTTCATCTTTCAATAGTTGGTATTTCTCTAACTTCTCTCACTAGTTCACTATCTTTCACCCTGTCATCACCTGGGAAGTCAATTATGACAACCTATTATAATTATTATCTCTCTGTATAAAAGTTTGGAATACTGTCCCCATTATTATTGTTATTGTTATTATTACTATTACTATTACTATTACATTATTATTATTATTATTATTATTATTATTATTATTATTATTAAAGATACTGCTCGCAGCTTGCTTTGACTTTGATCAAGGTCTACTAGTCAGACGCGCGAATAAAAGGATCATCATGATTACCATCCGTCTTTATGGCTTTGAGTTTTGTCACCACGAACAAGTCAAAATAGTGAAGTAAAAAAAGAACACTCAAAAGTCGTCTCAATAAAAAGTGGGAAATGGTTAACATGCATAGATAGCCAGCTTTGCTACATTGTAGGGAAAAAAATCTAAAGGAATACGGTATGCATTAAGTAGTACCAATTTTAAATTTTTGTAGTACATGATGAAAAGCACGCCACTGATGCAGAACGAACTCTAACAAAGTATGCACTGGTGAGCATTAATTACTGTTAATTGGCGGATTGCACTTATGTTGTACTCTAGAAGATAAGGGCCAACAAAGAGGAAAAAAAGAAGCAAGAGGCTCAGTCGTGCGAATCATCAGATAGTCTGTATTATGAAAAACTGCGTACTTTTTGAAAAGAACCGTACTTGAAAAAAAATCTTATTTTATAACGTAAAATCCTATTCCGTCAAGGCGACAAGAAACCACAAAAACTATTTTGCCCCTCTTTTATAGTAAATGGTGGTATGAAAAGCTGCATTCATGACTATCAGATAGTAAAAAACGCTTGGTAATTTGCAGTCTCTGACATTCCTTTTCATCTTGAATCCCCAAAGACTTACCAGCATTTAAAAATAAAACGATCTCCAATTAGAAAAGGTGTTGGTTGTTACATGTAATAGGCTCTTAACAGAGTTAAAGAGTTCTTGGTTATTGATATGTTTGTTTTGATAAATACAAAGTTGGGCAAATGTGAATTGAAAGATATTAACAACAAACTCGAGAAAACAAAATACTGTTCACGTTCTTCCTGTCTTTTAAGTTCGTTGCAAATATAAACCGTAAATTAAGTTTTCAGATGTATGGATATAGAATTTGAAAAATTTCCAAGATTTGATTTCATTTTAGACCACATAAGATAGAGACAGAGGGTGAGGGCGTTGGAACGAGAGTTTCCATCAATCTATACTGCTAGAAAAGATTGCTGCATGAATAGCACTCCTGACTGTGGTCTGCGGAAGTATAAAGGACTTCGCTAGGTCTGAACTTTCAAAGAGATGTAAATCACCTCTTTCAACTGGGCCTAACGTTTAGTGCTTTTGAAGTTCGCCAAACATCTCAAACGCTTTAAATTCGGTTCTGACTGCTTCTCTCCTCAGTCAGTGGAGAAAGGTAATAAATGTATACTTAAAGCTTTCTTCACATGATTTGTTGCTCGTTTATTGATTATATTCTGCTTCCTTCTAAAGGCACAAGCATTTCTAGACTATATAAGAAACTACAAGTGGAAAAAGATGACTGAATGCTCACTTAGGTATAACAGTGGTCCCAAGAGAAATTAATTGCAATGCTCATGAAAAAATTTAAAAGACAAAATTTGGTTGACGGTTATTTCTGGCGTTAAAAGTTTGGCAATTCATAAATAAAATATTGCAATAGTAAAACTTTAGTAGTGTTTTTTAAAAAAAATTCTATTAATATTAGATAGTCGGGTTGAAGACTAGATTGCAAATAACCTTTGTCAAAATAATTTTCTTTGGAAGCGAGGTTAAGTAAACAGAGAAATACCATGTAATGAAAGTGTCTCCAAAGTGCAAAACAGCATGTATGTTCCGCGTTACATGGGTTCGGTGAGCGGGAGGTTTTGCGGTTAAACTACATTGAACTCTGCTGTTGACGGGAAGGCCATTCAGTAGGGTGTGAATGCGGTTGACCGACTAGCGACAAATTCCGTTTTGTTGATACACGTACATGTATATTGCCATAACCAATATCAAATTCACAGAAGTCATACATTGAAAATACTACCGACTTTACATATTTTATTGAAAAGGCAAAGGTCAAAAACCGAAAATTTCTTGTTTCGATGGACGTCACAAGTATTTACTCAAATACATCACAAAACGAAAGTATTGAATGAGTTTGTAGAACGTATGAAAATTTCTACGGAGACAATCATCCTCCTCCTAATATATATAAACCTTCGAGAAATGCTTAATAGCTTAAGTTGGCTAGATAGGGCTTTCATTGATTTCGCTTAAACTTCCCAAACATCGAGGCGGCGAGTATTGGAGGATAAAGCTCCCGTGAATTATTTTGGAAGAATAAGTTCCCAGTGGCGAGGAATACGGATGCAAGTGAAATAGGCAATGGCCTCATTTCGTTGCTATGACAACATCCAGGATGGGGGGGGAGTGAGGTATCTCCAAGGAAATCTGTGGTACAGTCCACCCGCCAGTATGACGTCACGTCTCGCGTCAGTAACTTTCAAAATGGCTAGCAAAGTGTTCATCGAAGAGACGGATAAAAATTTCGATTTAATCACGGAAATACTGTTCCGATATTTTGGATTTGGAGATTTTAAGGTTCCTATTGTCATGGAAAACTAGACTTAAGTGCTTTTTTGGAATGAAATGTCCAGTGGTGTAATGAATTTTAAAGATTCCTTTCTATAGACGAGCAAATTTTACGGGCAATCATGCCGACCGGTCACACTCTTTGAGGGCCAGTGCACAGCAAGATTGAAGAGTTGAGACACAGTAATAGGAGGTTCATGAAAGGATGTATTATACTTTACATTTTGCGTATTTTCAGCTCTTCAGAGCTGGTGAAACCCCATATCATTCCTCTCAAAGTTCGCTTAGCTGTAGCGTTGAAAGAGGAAGCTAAATGACAGGTATTTGTGAGAGACTGAGCGCATTGAATCTCGTTGCTTTACCGGCGCATGTTAATAATGTATTAGGCATACACCTGTAATTCTGTAATTACATCCCGAAAGCCAATAAAAGGTTTCGTTTAATTATTTTTTGGGGGCGAACCCAGTGGAGATTTTAGGGTGATAATATTGTTGATTAAGACGATGTACAAAAGGCAAGTTTAACTTTCGTCAGTGGGTCACTCGTGGGTGTACGGTACGGTACTAGGGAGTTTAAGATACGGAGACTACGGACTACGAACTACGGCTGGACTAGCGTTGTCCTTTGTTTGTAGCACTGGGTTGTGTCCTGCAAATATAGAACGTTAAGATTGCACTACAGACAGCAGACTACGAGAGAAGAGGCGGAGAGGAAAACAACAGGCAAAGATTTTCTTGTTTTCATCACAGTTCACAAAATTCAAGTCAGTTTTCCATGTGATCTTATCTTTAGAACAATGAACAAATTCTTCCATACTTGAAGGAAGCAATTACGTCGGGTGAAATTGGTAAACAAAGTTTTGGTTACACAGGTTTTATTTTTTCGCCCATGAATACGTATGTCAAATATTAAAGAAATAGACAGAAATAGTAACAGCTCATTTATTAGAATTTAAAATTAGAAGATGGACTTCTCCGACTACTGATCTGATGTAGTTTGAAGTATTGAAATGCCTAGTTTCGAGTGTCTCGAAGATGTTTACTTCATTTTCATTCAGCAAATGCGGTACAAAAACTCACATAAACAAAGGTTACACAAGTAAAAAGACAAAATAATCAGTTCGAACAAACATTGAAACTTTTCAAGTGCGACGAGACGGTAAATTACCTGCATGATTTCTCTTCTCCTCGGCCGTCAATCTGAATTCTGCGTATAAACAGCTAAGATTATTTCAATATGAGCTTAGGTAGATAGAACTGTAGTCACAATGGTGGATTAAAAGCGTAAATCTGAGCAGAAATTAGACACAACTTACATATTTCGCTTCCCTATGACTTAAAGCAGGTGAATTGAAAACGTTTTTACAAAAAGACGAGATTCTTGAATTACCGAGACGGCAAAATACGAGCAAAATGTTCTCGGTAGTCCGGACTACGCGAAACAGCTCAACAACTCACAGTAGCCGCAAGACTACGCGGAGAGAATGAGCAGTCACGTGGTTTTGATCATGCGCAGTAGCATGTTTAACCGTAGAAAAATTGCTATCACAAATAAAACTCAAAAAAAGGAAGTCCGTGCTCCTGAAACAAAACTAAAAGGAAGAAAAAGACACAATACCAGCCCTTAGGGCAGTGCCGTAGCATGGGGAGGGGCTGGGGGACCGGGAGGGAGGGGAGGGGGGAGGGGGCTGGCTCCCCCAATAATTTTGACAAGCACGTTTAATTTGGTCAGCGGCCACGCTCTTTACGCTTCTCTTTGGTTCAATGTGTTCATTTCGGTTCAATAAAGCATGAAAATTATTTATTTATGTCTTCAACAAAGAAAAATCAAGCGGGTATTAAACAAAGTCAGGAGCCTGTGATAGGCTTCGGATAAAGTACATTTCTTAAGTGGAAAATTATTGCTCTCGGAAGGCTGAAAATGCTATTTCAGATAGTTGAGGGTTCTAGGTCAGGGCTTAAAATCAGAGTGCGCGGATATTTCTTATCAGAGCTTTCTCTGGTTGTTGCGCCTTACTGACGAGCCCCAAAAAGGGCGAAACAGCTGTCTATGGACACAATCCCGCTCTGCTTTGAGTTATTTCGGTGTCATGCTGATGTATTGCAGAGTTAATTTTCGCGTAGTACGATCAGCATTGCAGTATTCTGCTTGCAGAATTTAATATGTCTATTTCAGAGACACTATATTTCAAAATCTTCCGGGGGAGCATGCCCCCGGACCCCCTGGCAATAAATCCAACCTTGCTACAGCACTGTAGCGTGTCTACAATAAAAGAAGCTTTAATGAAAGAGTGGAATCTCATACAAAACCAACCACTACTTTGCAAAATTTTTTAAAGTGCTACTACGACGAAAATTTTTGTTTTTGTTTCCGAGTTTTTTTAACATAAATCTTTTGTATATGTTCAAAATTATACAAATAGCGAAAAATTGGAACGATACTTGTGTACGGGGGCTGAAAATTTCCCACTGAAAAGTGCGTAAATACCGTCCCTATTACAAAGTTCGCAAAGCAATAGCCCGCGAGATCTCCGCAAAGCGGTCGTGCGTTTGACCACGTGATTTATGCACTGTGACGTAGAAACATCAACCAAAAGATTCGCATTTGGGAAAAGTTTGTGAGTTTAGAGTCTTTTAACAAGACGTTTAAGATGTCATCTCCGTCGGATTCCTCTTCCTGAGTTTGACTAATAGTCGCGGGTCGCGGGTGGCGGGTCCAATGTCGCGGTCGCGGGTCCAATGTCGCGGTCGCGGGTCCAATGTCGCAGCAGGGGAAAATGATTTGGGGTTCGAGGTAACAGCTGAGTGAAAACGACTGATATGAACACAATATAAAGGGAAAAAAATCTTTTTTATGCACAATACTCTACGGTAGCCAATTTACAGGTTACGCATGTTAGAGTCAACAAAATAATGTCTCAAGAAAAGACCTAAAAGAAAAAGCTGGCCGACTTTTGTGTTCAGCGCAAGTTTATTTTTTTTTCTTTCTGTCGGGCCCAGTTATGTGTAAATTCAGCTTTGAATATACTTATGCATAACAGTATCTGATAAAAAAAGTTACCATAAGTTACCATTGCTTTCTTCTTGTCGATGAATTGCTCACAAATGCTTAAGGGTTTAATTACTGAAAAATATGCGATACACTTCATAGACTACAGATTATAAACGTTACAACAACTTAAAGCCTTTTTTTTAAAAAAAGCGAACTCGGGCTCAAAAAGAGCACGAGTCTGTCGGTAGAAGAAACGAGAACTCTTATATTTAACAAATGTTTTCGGCAAAACTGAAAGAAAATGTAAATAGGCGCATGAAACTTCATTCAAGCGGTATTCAAGGCATGAATTTAATATGGAAACAAGTAATAATCCACAGAAAGGAGTCTGTTCCTCGAAGCAAGATTTTCGCTTAATGCTTTTATTTTTACAACTGAGACGGCAACCCAGAGAGTTCAATAATATATAGATTTAGCCAGGGCTAAAAGCGAAGCTCCCATTAATAAATTTATAATTTAAATCAAACAATAAACTTGTAATCCACAAATCAGTTAACTTTAAGGGAAAGCTAAGGCTAAGTGATTTTAGAGTGAAAAAAAAAAATCTTACATCGAATGGATAGCCGTATATATACACCAAAAAAAAAGCAATTATCTTCGATCACATTTTAGAGCCATAATGGCTCTTGATCACAGTAGATTAGACCTGGAAAACGAATTTTTGGAAAACAAATCAGGCCGAATTTTTTGCGTTCGACAAGTTTACTTAACAAAATCTTGCCAACAACTCTGGGAGCGTGTAAACCAACATTTCATACTTTTTATACATCACATCTGAGACAGTGATATGAGGCGTTGTTTTTATCATATAGACCTCAGACAAAATGCAGTATTTCACAATTTTTCAAGACAAATTGCACTCATTCAATATTCAGAACCGTACGAAGCACGTATGGGCTTTTAGCAAAACCGTTCAAAAAATTTCCAAAATCACCTATACGGCCAGCCGGTTCTCACTTTTGACAAACGCCAAATTTTCAGTGGACATTAAAAGAGTTACGCTTCAACATAATAAAGAATTTATTGTGTTTATTTTTTTTATTAAATGGTTTTATAACGATGTGTAATCTTAAAAAGCGTTTGATACGAGCAGCATTTTGAGTACTCCTGCAAGCGTTGTTTATGAACGACTGAAAACAAACGGCAAAGCGATTAAAATTGTAAGAGACTACTAACAATCAATAAAAGAAATGTAATTCGGTGAAACATTTACAGAGACAACAATTTTCATTCACGAAGACAAGTATTAAAGCGTCTCTAAAAATCCTGAGTCTTTAAGCTTAAGCAGCTTTTAGCCGGCTTCCTGGTGTTTACTGTTTTCAAAGATGAACTCGAGGCAAGAAAATCGCTCAAAGCTTTCTTTCTACAGCCAAAATTATAACTAAATACTCTTCGGAACGTTTTTTCGTTCTATATGCGGAGAGAAAATATCGACTAAAGGCTTTTTAAAGTTCTGTAAGATTACATACTAGATCAGATCATTGTCTCAGATCTTAATACAAACGTGCATAAATTAGCCTCATAAACTGCGCTCGACTTCATGAAATTAGATATAAAAAAACAAACATACACTGTATACAATAATTACTTAGGCTTACCATTCGAGATGCAGCTCTTGAAAGCTATAAAGTAAGGCCAGAATCGCTTGACGGACTTTTCAACCCGCATCCAGCAAGGTAAAAACGAAAGCGATGCATCCGAAATCGGATTTCCAACTTTGGCAACCGGCGCATTTCCCGACCAAAAATTCAATAAACAAACCAGCCATGAATCAAAGAAGACTGTCGATAGCAGCTGTATTTCATTTTAAGCATCCAGTGGAAAAAGACAGTAAAAAACATCACAAGTTGAAAAAATACTCTGTCAGCTTCAGCTGTCAAACTGAAAGTAAACAAGGTTCAAGATGCTGTATAAATCAGTTTCTGCATGAACTCACCTGTCAAATTTTGACCAATCAGAGCATAAAAATTGGACGGTCGCAGAGCGTGATCAACGCGTGACTATGGTGTGAAAACTGAAAAGCCTCTGTCTTCCCTGCTTGTATTTTTAAATGACTGGCTGAATTTTCGAGTCCGAGATCAGTTTGAAATCAAAATGTTAATAGCGCGGGGCCATAGTGACATTAGCACAACACTTTCTGTCATCATGTCATTATTTTGCTGCCGTTCTCTTTGCCTTTGTATTTCTCTTTCGCTTTGCCTTTGTCTGTTCATTCTAGCTCTGTCTCGTTCTGCTTGCCGGCGTTTTTCACTATAATTTTCTCTCCTTCTTCTCGCTCTGACTCTTTCTACTTGCTTTCGTTTTTCCAAAACCAGTTGCGCGATATAATTGCGCGACGTTGCGCCATGCGATTTCCCGCCAAAAAATCTCTACTTTCCCCTACCCCAAGAGTCCATGCGGACTACTTTCCACTACCCGGGAAGTCCGTACGGACGGACGTACGCTACGTCATAACCAAATTTTCTGGGATGGATAGTTTACCAAATTTTCTTACCCATGGTGCTCCGCTGCGCGCGCGCTTCGCGCGCGCGGGAGCTCCGCTATAACTTCTTCCCCGATTAGTAGGCCTGACGGCAAGCTAGAAGACTAGACACTTAAATAAAGTTGTTGATTGATTGATTGTCTTCTTGTTCTCTTCACCTAAATGGCAACCAGGACAACCTGACAATAGGAAGCCATTCAATGTGCGTCTCAGTCAAATCTTGAAAACATGCATCGTAAATAACCAAGTGAGTAAGTAGGTAAGGAAATAATAACGCCCGATATCATGAAGCTGTAAAAGAAAGTAAACCGGACACTGAAAACGGTAAGCTATCAACTCCACCAGAGCTAAGAAAAGATAATAAATTAGGTAAGTAATTCCAGATTCCAGGTACTGGATTCAAGTCTTTGTCCATTGGATTCCGGATTTCAATCGTTATTGGGAACAAACTCCTTTCTGTGGGCAAGAGAGGATAAAGCTCGAGCTTTATCCCCTCTTGCTGAGGATTATTACTTGTTTTTTTTATTAAAGTCATGCCTTGAATGCCCGCTTGAATGTACTTTACTGGCACTTCAAGCCCAACGTCTCTCCTCCCCTTTCCAGTTACTTGTGCAAAGAGTTTATTTTGGGAGTTTGCGACTGTTACGCGGGTAATCTTTTAGAGGACGGGTAGCTTGCAAACTAAACTGAACGCAGGGTTATCGGAACAGCAACAAGAAGATTCATTCCAAAGATGAACGTAGTTTCCACTGAGTAAAACTCCACAACAGCACGTAACTCGTTAAACTTACACGGCCTCCGCCAACTTGAATAAACACTGCCTTCGTCACACTTGACTAAACACGACCAACGTCAAACTCTCTTCGCTTGTGAAAACTAGTTGAAACTTAACTCGGGCTCGCCTACCTTATATACGTTTACAATAAGATTCTAGAACTTTCCAAATAGTCTAATTATAGAAAGATTACAAAATATACCGCTTTTAGAAACGCTTACACAAGATCCTAAAATAAACAAATTATGAACTCTCGCGAAGCTTCTAGAAAGTCACACTAGTCACAATACAATTTTTCGTAACAGCGACCAGGAAGTTTTTCAACAAGCGTTTTCTTTATTTTTGCCGAAAACATTTGTTAAAATTGAAACAGTTCTCGTTTCTTCTACCGACAGACTCGTAGCTTTTCGAGCCCGAGTTAGCCTTTTTTAAAAGAGGTTTTAAGTTGTTGAAACGTTTATAATTTATAGTCTATGAAGTGTATCGCACATTTTTCAGTGAATGCACCCCTAAGAATTTGTGAGCAATTCATAGACAAGAAGAAAATAATGGTTACTCATGGTAACATTTTTTATCAGATACTGTTATACATAAGTATATTCAAAGCTGAATTTACACTTAACTGGGCCCGACAGAAAGAAAACAAAATAAACTTGCGGTGAACACAAAAGTCGGCCAGCTTTTTCTTTTAGGTCTTTTCTTGAGACATTATTTTGTTGACTCTAACATCCGTAACCTGTAAATTGGCTACCGTAGAGTATCGTGCATAAGAAAAGATTTTTTCCCTTCATATTGTTTTCATATCAGTCGTTTTCAAATCATTTTCCCCTGCCGCGACATTGGACCCGCGACCGCGACATTGGACCCGCGACCGCGACATTGGACCCGCGACCGCGACATTGGACCCGCGACTCGCGACATTAGACCCGCGACCCGCGACCATTAGTCAAACTCCCTCTTCCTGCACATCTGAAAGTGATCTAGAAAGTTTTACAGTTGACGAAGTGATGGGGGAATTGTCTGAATCTGCGCCGTACGACGACAGTTGCGAACCCCTTGCTACCGAGGAAGAATCCGCGGACTACAACGAAAGAGTTCATCGCGAAAAAGAAGAGAAACAACAGTTTCAGCGAAGATATTCGGGAGAGGTGCCAGCGAATGAATGGTATGGTATTATCATGGAATGTAGATTTATATTTTTATTTTCCAATTTCAACATACCCGTCGTTAAATCGTGCGCGTGACGAACGCGACTGTCTGTTTTGTTTAAGTTTACAATTTCGTTGCTATGTGATTAACTGTAGTCCTGATTTTATGCGATAGCTTTATTGAAGAGGTCAGACAATTAATAATTTTATACAGACGTATTTTTCTTGTGTTTGACGAATTTTTCACATTATTTTGCAGGTGTTCGTGCTCGAACTGCTCTGTCAGCCTTGTTACAAAAGCGCAGGAGGGCATTTGCTGCAAAGAGATAGATCGCTGCGAAGAGGTCATGGAAGAAGCCATTGGAGACCGGACCTTACGCATAACCCTCCATCCAGGGTTTGAAAGCGTCTGCTTAAACCGCCACGTATTAGAAGTGGCTGCACTGGGCCTAAAAACGCGAGCTGGAAAGTCGTACACAACTGTTCGTGGGCAAAGCAACAAAAGTGATAATGAGTAAGTTGGGGTATTGTTGACTTTGTATCGGAACGATCGAACCGTACATAGCATTGAATAATTGATACATCTAAGCTTATCGCCCTGGACTGATCTCATAGAATCACATTTTTTATTTTCTAAATGGCTTTATTGCCCCAACTGCTTATTTTTAAAAGGAGTATTTATTTGTCTCCTTCCAATCCTTCCTTGAATTAACAGTGATCTCATTTCTCTAACTAGATTCCTGAGGTCTGTGGCCTACCACCAATTTACAAGACTGCTGTGGAGTTATATTGGTAGTTCCAGGCGATACCCCTTGCCCTGTTGTGCCCACAATAAAATCAGGAAACAATTTCCGAGTCAAAATGGCCATTATCGTGGATCCGAAGATGAAGAAAATGAATAATAAATGCACTGTTTGTTCTTGAAGAGTGTCATGTATGCCATTGGGGCCAAGAAGGACCTACAGTAGTTGCGTGAATACTTGTCCGTAAACACTTAATTTTATGGGCCAAACTTCAGAATTCTCAGCCACTTACTCGCTTTTTGTTGAATGACAAACTTGCCCACTGTGTGAAGCCCTGTTCTTCTAGCGTTCAGTTAAACTCAAGTTTAGTGGCTGGGAATTCTGACGTTGCTCCAATTTTCATGTACACAAGTAATAAAAATTAAATCGAATTCAGCCTGAATTTAATTACAGTTTTAATGTATCGTTTCTTTCTTTTCCCTCGGCTCACAGAGCACTGCAAAACTTAATAGCAGGTTACCTGCTGGAAACTTTCCTAGCAGGTCTGGTTGACTCTTCCAGACTTTTGTCTGGCTACAGTTTCTGCAGAAACTTTCTACGGTTAACAAGGTACCTGTCTGTGATACAGAAAGTTTGGGTTTTGAAAAGAAGCACAAGTGGCAGAACTGAAACAAAAGAAGAAGTTTGGAAAGGAAAACAATTCTCTTCGGTTCCTCTTGACTGTTTTTTCCTTGTAGATCCAACCTGTAAAAAATGATTGAAAGGAAATACTCATTTAATCATAGCATCTGAAATAATAAAATAACAATAAAAAAAAATGAAATGATTATCATTTTTATTGTTTTTCTCAGGGTGTTGCCAGTTTTTCAACTTGTTGCAAACCTGGCTAATCGTGGGTTGGGATTTTATTCTCACATACATCCTGAAAAATGCTTTTTTATAATAATTCTGTTGATTGCACACATGACAACTTTGAGCCCTTAAGCTATCTAGCCCACCCCAACGATGCATAATTTATTATTTATTATCTTATTCTAATCTTAGTAAATTAAAAAACAAATTTCATGTACTCTTGTTTTTAAATAGATCCTCTCATAATGGAAGTTAGTTTTAGGCCTAAATCACTTCCCAGAGGATACTTAGAGCTAAGATGTTAAAATGCAATAAATTTTGCATCTTTGTACCTTGGGTTCTGATGAGTCTTCACCGAGTCATCATCTTCCTTTAGTTTTTTATATGCATCTTCGATTTCTTCAGGACTCCATGTAGGGTCTTCATCACACTCAAACTCCTCATACGCGTCGTCCTGCATTTCCTGCTCATCTTCTGATTCATCCTCTAGCCCTTACTCTGTCTCATTTGTTACTGGCCATGGATCAGTTTGAATAGCTTAAACAAATGGAATTAAAAAAATTCTATTACCATTAAAATTTTAATTATTATTAAATAATCAAATATTGATAAAATGTAATAAAAATATAAAGATAGGCAGTTATGCCTATATGACTCATCAACATCAATTATTGTTGACTCACCAGCATTCACCATCAGCAACTGCTTCGGCTCTTGTATGCTCTTAAAGGTTTCAACCCACTGATCTTGATTGGAGATTAACTTACTCTTCAGTCTTGTGACTTTGCCCCTTAACTGAGTCACCTCAATCCTCAGGGTTTTGCATGTTGTGCAATTCCCAGCATGTCCAGTTGGAGTATCCTACAAAAAACAAACTTTCAACATTAATACAGGCTGTAATAACAAGACTTCAGAATTTTTGTGTTTTAGTATTGTTGTAAAATAACTGCACATGTAGTTTTCCATTGTTATGATAATACAAAGATGCAAATAAACATTAATTAGAGTTATGCGCCTACCATAGAAACCTGTTCAAGTTCAGGAATCGTTAATGATTCATCAATCTGCATAACTTCATCCATATCCTGCAGTTTTTCGATTCCCTGAGCCTCCAGGATCTGCATGGTCTCAGTAACCTCATCAGTGCCGGAAATCCCTTGGCTCTCGAGAGTTGTCTTATCACCAGGAGTACCTAGGACCTCTGAAGCCATCTCAGCATCAACACTTATCTCACCCATCTCAGTCTCACGGATGCAGCCCTCCTTTTCAGGATTTACCCCAAGCAAAGAACCCTGACATGTGTTCAGAACACCCTCGACTTCTGGAGACTCCTCAGGGTTGAGATTGGGAGCCCCCATAGTGTCAGCACTCTCCTCAGGTGCAGAACTTCCTTTCAAAGAGATCACCTCTTCTTCAGGATTGTCTTCTTCCTCTGTATCCTCATTAGTAGTTGACCAGCCAGAATTTCATTTAGTAGCTAAAAATGAAAATAGGTACGACCATTTTTTATATCTCCCCTTCAAAACAAGTTTAAATTTGAGCTTAATGTCGATGTTTTCAAAAGTAGAAATGGAAGCAAGGTTTAACCACATCTTTGCCTTAAAATGTATGCATCATTTGCAGACAGTGAAAATAGAATTAAAATACAAACGAAAAAAAACCGCAAACAGAAACTGAACTTATAGAATGTAGAAATCAGACTAAGTCCATTTTTGGTCGTTTTAACAGACTCGCGTGTAACTCTTAATTTGCTGTAAGATTTCTTGGAGGGAAGTTTGGAGTACTGTCAAATCTCAAAGTAACAGCAAGATAATCTCTCAAAAAATAGAGAGCCGGATTTCTATGTAGCTTCACTTTTTCTAAATTTTACGCTTGAGTGGAAAGGTCTGGGAATTGGGGAATTGACTTCACGTCCACTCAGCGCAAATGCCCGTTTTACTATAACTATGAGAAGAAAGCAGAAAAGTATGAAAACACATGCAACAATATGGGAAGTCTAAATAGTCAGAGCATTCATTACACGAATATTGAACAACGATGTCAGAAAAAATAATGTCACAGGTAAATGGGGAAATAAATAAATGGTGATAAGCATAGCGCAAATACATTGTAATTTCACTCACCGATCGTCGACTCCGCTTTGATAGTGTTTGAGAGGATTTTTTCCAAATGGTTGGAAACGTCCCCTTCTTCAAATTCCTTTTCATGCCTTTCATCGGAAAAGCAAGCGTAAAACAATCCCTTGTAAAATGCTCCGAGCACACAGCAAATCTTCCCACTGTGTTAAAATCCTTCCGACGAATGGACACAAACCTTTTCCACTTCAATCTAACGCTGCCCGAATCAGGAGAATTCATCGTTCTTTACGTTTCCACAGTCCTGAACAACACAACGTCTACCAGGCATACTTTCGCTTTAAGTCAAAAAAGCGAAGAAAGAACCTCCAAAAGCTTCCAAAAATATCTCGTCCTGCATGCGAAATATGCCACGTTTGTTTACCTTCTTTTGTCGCGTTGATGTTTCTACGTCACATCTCGCCCCAACTCCTTCAAATACTACTCCCGGTCATTTTTTGAATCGAGTAATGGCGGCAAGACATTTACGAAAATTGCCGTGCAAATAAACACACTTCCAGATCATATTTAGACTCCAAACTTGGCACGGTAAGTCACTTTTACATACATTTTCGAAATATGTAATCAAAGACTAATTCCCGAATTTGATCGTAATAGCACTTTAAAGAAGCGCCTATTATTTCCTACAAGAAGGGAAAATCATAGCAAAGGACTTGCTGAAGAGCCAAAATATAAAAAGTCAACACACGGTTTCACGCCGGTATATAGACATCAATCATCAAGCCAGGTATCAGAAATCTCAATAATAGGGAATTTCACTCGAAGTTGATTAGAGGGGCGATGATTGTTCAAGACATCAATCCGGTCAATCTGTCGGATGGCTTGCAGATCGTTCTCCAACAAGGCGTGGGATTATCCACGTTGTTCAAATAAGGGGCTCTATTTCACCACCCTTTTTCAGAAAGTCTGATTCTTTAGAACAAAGATGGCGAAGTCGCAAGAGTTGACTGCGAGGGAGACCTGTTTTGCAATGACTAGGATGTGAGGACTGATGATAAAGGTAGGTGTGAGTAGTGGTTTCCTTGTAGTAAACAGACGTGCTGATGTGATCATCAGTAACGCTAAGGGTGATGTCGAGGAAAGAGAGCTCATTGTCGGAGATTTTGTGTAAATTAAAGAGCAGGATGGAAGTTAGATACAAAGTGAATATAGTCTTCCAGTTCCACGCGGCTACATGCGACTCCGATGACGTCGTCGATGTATCTCTTGTGCACAAAGCCTTGGTCGTAAGGCGGAATTTCACTGCTGTAACAGGTAGTAACAAGATCTAGCTTCGATATAGTTGTAGTAGTTTCTATTTAAGAGATTCTTAATAAATGAAATTATTATTGTAATTTTTTCATGTCACGAAAATCAAAGAATAATCCATGAAAAGAATAATCTGCCAACCCACGTATTATATTGTATTTCAATATCTGAACATTGACCTCAGATGCGTGTAGAAGCTGCTATTTTTGGTTCTCGATATAGTTGCATCTCACATCCATCCCTTTTCCCCGTCTATACGAACCCGGATTTTTTATTATTATTATTTTCGTCCCCACAAAACCAGTGAATACACTCACCAAAACCGCAGCTTCTTAAAACCTCTCTCCAGAGATTTTAAAAGCTCCGTCCACACGCATCTGAAAAAAAAAATGCGGTTTCAAACCTGTCCAGATTCGTGTGGACATTGCCTTAGTAACATCTCTGTCGTTAAGCCAAACAAAAATGTTGTAACTAATTATTACGTATCGGGGACATCGGATATAAATTAAAGTGCCTTTAAAATATTGAAATTTTGAAATATTGCAATCTGAAAATTTCATTTATATTCCCGTCGCTTAAAGATCTGACAAGAGTGCTACTCGCAAATCAAGGCCAAAGCAGTAGGCCTGCAGCTGCAAGTGGAAACACACCGGAACCAACAAAAATAGATACAGTTGAGCAGGCGCCGAGGTAAAGTGGAGCATCAACGTTCAAATTTAGCAATCTGTTTACAATAGTTCCCTCTTTGCCGTCTATATTTAAGCGTCGAAAACAACATGCTTCAATTCCTTTTCATGTAGGTTAGATTAATATATATTTGAGACAATCCTCGACTCTACGGGTTGGCTGTTAAACAATTTCAAACGACGACATCTTCAATTAAGACAAGCCACAGTGGTTATCATGCCCCTGTATATTATCTAG